AGTCCCTCCTGTACACCCTGCCACCGGAGAGTACCCTCCTGTACCACCCTGCCACCAGAGAGTACCCTCTTGTACCACCCTGCCACCGGAGAGTATCCTCCTGTACATGTACCACCTTGCCACCGGAGGGTACCCTCCTGTACCACCCTGCCACCGGAGAGTACCCTCCTGAATAGGGTTGTTAATTTCCTTAGATAGAAATTTTATCTCAACTAAACCTAATTAGAAACTAATTAGGTTTAGTTGAGAAGTTTAGAAATCTCAGCTAAGGTCTCGGCTGCTTTCAGGCGGAAGGGTCGCTGAAACTTAGGAATTAGAATCCCCATTTGCTGCATATTAACGATCATTCAATAATTTTGCGCTGCGTTGAGTGTGCACAGCGAAAGGTGCTCAGTGGGCACACGGGGCAAGGGACCCACGGGACACCACCGCCTGCAAGACACCACACGCCCATGGAAACGAGCATTAATCAACGCTAGTCTGCCCTCCGAATCCCCAATGCAACTGCACTGCTACCGCCACTTGGTGGCAATGGCAGATGAGGACTCTAGCAACGAACCACGCCCTGATTGGTGTTTGTTGCAGATGAGCAGCACCAACCAAATTGCAGCCAGCTACTCAGCACATGCTGACGTGCACGTCAGCAGCCCCAGGCCACCTACCTACATAGCGCCTACATAGCAAGTAGCAAGCCCCTAAACGCTCCAAAGAACACAGCGATTGGCAAACTGCCGAACTGCACACCATGATACCAGGCACCACATGCCAGTCGGTGTACCCCGCTGCCCATTACCTTCCCCCGCGAAACTGCATACGCGTGCTGAAAAGCCAGTGCATGAAACACCTGGAAGCGTAGCAAACAACACGGACCACGTCTAACATTTTAGCGGACCAAGCCCTGACAAGCTAACAACACCGTCACACACCGCAGACCCGAGAACTGTGAGGCCTGAGTGCGCAGGGTGGGGCAAAACGTGCAGGCCAGCTTCACTGCGTTGTTTACCAGCACAACGTTGAAGAAAGCCCACCAGGAAGCATGGCTATTTCGCTTGCTGTCTTTCAGCTTCTCGTAAAATTCCTTGGCCGAGTACTCCTTGCCATTGTAGGTGTAAGTATCCTTGCTGGACTCGTGCTTGCCCTTCGGCGGCTTGCCAGAGGCTTCACCGACGTCAGCCATTGGGAATGTAACTCAGTAACTATTCGATGAGTCCTCAGACAGCTTCACCTAAAGTTTCTCAGGACCACCTAAGGTCTCTGCTAAGGTTTCGGAGCTGCCGTACATCTAAGGCGCCAAAAAAGGCCATCTAATATCTATAGATATTAGCTAGGTTTAGTTTCTAAAGGTTCTCATATAAGTTTAGAAGTTTAGTCTTAGATGACTTCCAACCCTACTCCTGTACCACCCTGCCACCGGAGAGTACCCTCCTGTACCACCTTGCCACCGGAGAGTATCCTCCTGTCCTGTACCACCTTGCCACCGGAGGGTACCCTCCTGTACACCTTGCCACTGGAGGGTACCCTCCTGTACCACCCTGCCACCAGAGGATACCCTCCTGTACCACCCTGCCACTGGAGGGTACCCTCCAGTACCACCCTGCCACCGGAGGGTACCCTCCAGTACCACCCTGCCACCGGAGGGTACCCTCCTGTACCACCTTGCCACCTTCTTGTGGGGGCTTGTAGAAAACACATGAGTCTGCCAGCCTCTCCATGGCAAGCAAGGATGCTTCCATTTGGATTCAGCTAAACATGGCAGTGGCCTCGGGGCGCCTCTTGTTTTTCATGCAGCTGCAGCAGCCAGGGATGGTGTTGGGCAGTGGGCTGCAGCAGGTATGTGGCCATGTCAGGCTGCACGCCAGGTTTTTGTACAGGGGCCAGGGCTGATAGCTGAGTTGCTGAACAGGTGTTGAGTTGTTTGTCGTACACGCACATATGTTCGTGTACGGCACTTGGCGCAGCTCATAGTATACGCACACGTTTTAGAATAGATACAGAACCTTTGGATGCTGTGACAATAATTTAAGTTGAGGTGTCGTTTATTACAGCATAGGTTTAGGGAAACATTATAGTATAATAGTATCGCAGTCTTAGGTTCGATTCCAATACAATACGCGAAATGGATTTCAATGTAAGAATAACCTTAGAATTTCCTGAGAATATGACTTAAGAATGAGTGCCATACTTAGCGAACCTATGGTAAGAACGGTTAAAACCGGCCAAAGAGCAGCTAAGTATGCTTTAGGCAAAGAATGAATAAGTTGGCCTAAGAATGTATAAGAACACCCCAAAGAACGAAAAGAATACATAAGACTGCTGGCCCTAAAGAATGCTAAAGAATGGTAAAGAGTGGTTTTATTTCTTAAGAATGAGACTTAAGAACGTGTGCCATACTTAGCAACCCTATGATAAGAATGGTTAAAACCGGCCAAAAAGCAGCTAAGTATGCTTTAACACTAAGTTGGTCTAAGAACGAATAAGAACACCCCAAAGAATGGAAGAGAATACCTAAGACTGCTGGGCCCCAAAGAATGCTAAAGAATTTCAAAGAATGGTTTTAAGATAAACGGATGCCTTACGAACGTTCTTAGAACGTTCTTAGAACGGTGTAAGAACGTTCTAATGGTTATTCAATTTTATCAATTTGGCTGGGCTAAGAACGAGTTAAGAACGTTCTTAACCCCCCTCCGTGTTTGTAGGATATAAAGTAG